CCAAAAAAAAAAACGGAGGTCTTCCACCCAGAACTCACACACCGAGCCGCTCCTCTAAGCATGCGTTCCAGACACGCAAAGCATAAGGGCGAGAGCCAACCCACCCAACTCTCATCCACCATCAAAGGGAATAAAAAAAACACTCACTTCTTCGCATTACTCTTAGTCCCCTTCTCCCACTTCGCCGCCTCAGCAGCCGCCTCCCGTTCACTCTCCTCCGCAGCCTTCCTCGCCGCCGTCTCCGCCTTCCTCGCCTGGCCCAGAGCCTTCTTGCTCCCCTCCGCCGCATCCCCTCCCCCCTTGCCCTTCTTGCCTCCGGCCATGGTTCGTTCAAAAAACCGTCACGAAATAAATCACCTGAGCCGATCTCAATGCACGCAGTAATGCTGTGGTTGGTTGATGTGCGTGTGTGTGGTATTGCGCGCGTGTGTAGAACAGAAATTCGAAGAAGTGTAATCGAAGCAACAAATTCGAATGCAAGCAAGCTTGGCCCGCGCCCGCACCGCACCCAGGCAAGTGTGCGTCATTCAAGATAAATGGCGGGGTAAATAATTGCTCCTTTCCTCCCGTCGAGAGGGGGAGTGAAATTAGTGATAAAAGTGGGGTGGTCACTCTCAGGAAGAGCAGCAAAGTGAAATCTCTTGGCCCGTGCGAGGAATCCAACAGGGACCTTTTGTCGAGAGGCTATCACCACCCGCTTTCCTTCCACATCTCACACACACACACACACACACACACACACACACACACACACACACACACACACACACACACACACACACACACAGCTCGCACACAAGCCGGGCGAGTACCGCGCGCGGGGAGTTTCCCCCCTGCCGTGATGACCACAGTACAGGCCGACAAGGGTAGACGGCAGGTCCGGTCCGTGAAGGTGACAAAGAAATGTGAAATGGGTGCCCAAGGCTTTGATATATATCCCATACGCACACATGTTCGCCTTCCCGGCCTCTTCTTGTTATACATACCAATGAGAAATCCTTCGACCAGGCACCGCAAATAAGGTCCTCCCATGTTCCTCGTTTCTGTGAGAAACCAGAGCCTGCTAGACTTGGATGTTGCCGAAGTTCAAACAATGGCGTGAAATACCCAGAGGCCGTGAGCTGCACAGTTCTCCCATCCCATGTCGCGTCCCGCCGCCGCTGGAGCGGCATCAGCAGCAGGCTTGACCGCCTCCTTTTTCCGCAGTAGCCTTCGACATACCAAATAAAGCCATCCCTCTCCGGCAAGACTCTGTGGAACTGAACCGATGCACCGCGGCAACCCGCTTACCCCCGACTCTGATGGCCAACTCAACATCCAGACCTGTCATGCTCTCACGACACTCTTCTGTGTGACAACGTAAACATAGATCAAGATCAACCTGAGACAGGCGCGGGTAGGCTTTGGGGACACACGGCGTTGGGGCTAGGTAATCGGAAATGGCCAAACTAGGAAAACTGACAGCCTGAAAAAGAAGCATCGGAGGCGGGCCAAGCAGCGAACAGCTATGTTCGACAGCTCCTTGCAACCTTGGCTGGCTGTGGTCGCGCCGAAACGAGTCGTCAGAAAGTGACAGGTCACTCGGTTGTGAGACTCCAAGTGGGATCCAGAACACACAACGGGCTGTGATAAGCGACTCCAAAATGCACCTCGCCCGAAGTTACGACGCCACAAGGCCGGCTGGAGGTTGTTATCGCGTCAACGAAACTGCATGCTTCTCAGTCCAGTGGTCCGTTCGGGTTCCTGTTTACGAGACCGGTCAAGATGGCGTGCCTGCCTCTCCGTATCTGCCAAGGGTGGTCAGGCTTCGTGTAGCAGTGTAGCGTAGATTAAATCTCTCTCAGATGTGACGGCGATCGGCTGACGGAAAGCGGCTTCGTACCTGTGTCTTTGCTTTTTTTTTTTCCCCATGATCGATGCAGTTGCTTTCCCCATAGCGGCCAGAGTTCAGAGGGGTATACGGGTGGGTGTTCCCGTTCCTTGTCCGCAATACGTGCCCCCCTGTCGCAGGCTTAGCAAGGGCTCTTGATATGGGGGAGGACACCAACGCATACGCATACCAATGCGACCAAGCAACGTCAAGCTGTGCCAGCGGTGATGGCGCTGCTCTTTCGCGGTGGCATGAATCATCCATGCTTTGCGTGCAGCAGAATGGATGCAGTCAGACGGCGGCATGGCCTCAGCATGTCCGGGTCACGGGGCTTTCGGGTCCGGAAGGCGAGGTCAGTTAGGTCGTAGTGTCTTCGGAGCGAGATCCGCTGGGGGAAAACGAACTATGAGGCCGCGGGTCAGTTGGCTGCACTCTCCGACGCTGCAGCAAAGCCAGTGGCTAGCTATGGCGGAAGAGCCATGCGGGTTGGTCCGGAAATGTTAAACATCCTGATTTGAATGCGACTGCGCCAATCATCCTGGCCAGCCTCCTCGCAGTCGCCCCGGAGGTCATCATGAACCGGGCCTAGTGTTGAGTTGCCCGTGGAAATCATCCCCAGATGGCTGGGGACAACTGAGACACTTGCTTCTGCGCAGCGAGAGGACAACGCTACGTTTGCAATCCGGAGAACTGGTTGATATTGAGATGGGCCATCATCTGAGACCCCAGAGCGCCAAGAAGGGCTTGACATGGGCGGCGAGGATCCTCGACCGGCTTGCTCGGGAACCTTGACCACCGGTGCAGAGCGTGCACTCAGCTCAGCCCAAACCACAACCTTGGGTCTGATCTGGTCGCCTGCAGTTGCAAACATGACGTCCTCGCTCTAGAAAGAGACCCTGTAGTTAGCCTTCCCCCTATTGGATAGCCCGGCTGCTTATACCGCCCCGTCTCAAAGCGGATCGGCACTCTATTCTGATGTTACAGATCAGCTCGGACGCTGACCGCCACCAGCAACTCCTTTGATGATAGGGGAACGGTTTTTCTGGATTCAAGGCCAACGGGGGGAAACATCGTATCGACACCCAAGGCCCCATTGGTGGACGAAACAAGAAGGAGGTTTCTTGTGCAGAGCACCGAGGCCAGCGTCGCTTACCAGTCAGTGCGGGTAGAGGCGCACAGGCGCTGCAAGACGCAGTGTTGGTCGAATCGCGTTTGCCCTGCAGGGCTAATTCATGCGGAATCCCTACACGATAGTCATCTAAACCTTGGAAATAACCACCGTGGATGTCTCACTGTCAGTGACGAGCAACGCTCGCGTGGGGCGCAGTGAGCAGACGAGTGTCTGCCGTGCACCTGGGCGGTTTTCCAGATCCAGATAGCACGAAGAGGAGATCCCATAGGCATGGCTCCGGCGCGCACACATGCTTCTACCTACTGCATCACACAGGCTTGCTGCGGCGTAGACGGCACTTGTCCGGGGTACGGAGAGTCAAGAAGGATTGGCGCCCTGGTGTTGATGGGCCAGAGAGGCAGCAGGATCGTTGCAAGCGCAGGAGGACCGATTAGAAACAATGTTTTGCTGATGAAAGTGCCGTCAGTCCGCAACCGAGATGCAGTGCACCGTCGCGAGCCATGGTTTGGACAAAAAGGCGGGGATGAGAAAACGGTTCTTTGGTGAGGTGGCTGTAGTTGCATGTATGTAGCCCTTTACAGCGAGCGAGAAGAGGTGAGGTTGCAACAGAGGCGTGTAAGAGATGTGCCGTCTGGTAGCGTACCCTTCCTCCGTCGTCCTTGTAAGCGTGCGGCTAAACCTCGGACTGGTCGTACGTCGTCTGGCCCCCTCTGGCCCTTCCTCAGCAATCGTCACACAACCTGGAGGAAGCCGCTCCTTCGTCCTTCTTGCCTCGGCTGGGGAGGATTCCGCTGATACGACTATTGCTTCCCGTCTTCTGCAAGGTTCCAGGCATTGCTAAAAGCAGGCAAGTAAACCTGAGAAAGGACGGAGCCAGCAGCAACGGACCTTCCCATGTGAGGTCTAAGTCGGTGCTGTTGGTTGACGTTACGAGCTGCCCAGAAGGTCTCTCTGGTTAGCGTCTCACACAAGGTCCCGCGTTCCATGTCGAACCTGGAAGATTCCGTATAAAGGATAGATGTGGACATGAGAGCCACAGGCAGTCAGCGTGCGCGTGGGGGAATATCGTGCGAAGACTTGTCGATTGGCCAGCTTGCGGCAACCAGGCAGGGGAGACGGGTTGTTTTGTAGATCCATGCTGCATCCCTAAGCAAGGTCGGCCGTTTTCAAGGCAACTTGTGTCTGATGTTGCTGGAACTGACGGAGTCGGTGAGGGGACATTGCACCGGTGAAGTGCCGGTGTGTACCGTATGTTGTTGACATCGTCTGGGGTTGGTTGCGCGGAGGGTGACGGCCCTGGTGGAGCTGTGGTCTCAGCCCCATGGTAAGCGGTGCCCGGCTTTTGGCCGGCTTTTGCGGATCCGAACCCCCAG